AAAAAAAAAAAAAAAAAAAAAAGATTGGGCCCCCTTGCTGTTTCTGCATTTAGCATGCAGGGGGTGAGCTGACAGCTGCATCGTTGCAATTTGCAACATTGCAAACTAAATAACATCTGGATGTTGTTTAGTTTGCAATGATGCAGTGTCATTGAAAGCTCCCAAAAGTCTTGCATGTGTACACTGTGACGCCATTAAGCCACACAGTGACATTTCCATCACATGCACATGTTAATAGCATCACGTGTACAAGTGCCCACAGAGACCAGCTGTTTTTTTTAGGTTAGACCTAGATCTGGCCTTATCTGTTTTATTGGCTTGCAATAGGGACGTAATGTTTGTATAAGAGAGTTAGGAAATAGTGAACATTTAAAAAGTATAGACCATCTTTTTTCATGCTGTGAACAAAAAGTGAAAAGTCACCAAAATATTTTAATTGTGAGAGCCTGAACTAACCAGGTAAAGTACCATATTTTATCACATATAATATGTTCCAGTATAATACACACCTTGTTTTTAAAGGGCAGAATGCAGAGAAGTAGATCAATTTCTGCCACCCACCCACTCACCTGAATTATGGCTATATAGAGCAGGGACAGAGCATAATCTTCAGTTGACTTGTCCTGCTTAAGTAAAGCTGAAACCATAGCTGCTTCTGAAGACTAGCCTCCATTGTTGAATCTATGATTTTGAAAAGATCTAAAGAGTCTCCAGGGCTGTGAAACAACAGGGGGAAAGACCAGGAAAAGCTTAAAAAAATCACAGTTTTCCTAAAAACAGTTAGCTTGAGTAGTGGAACATCAAGGCCATTTAAAATGGAGACACATTAACACCTATGGAGTGAAGAACAATGATCCATTAAGTCAGTAGACTCGGTCAGCTACCTGAATAGTAATACTACAGCAGCTGCACTGTGGAGCAGGAATCAAAGCAGGATGCATCCATCCTAGGCAGAAAATCAGCCTCTCCACTTAATATACATACATACCTCAATTTTGGAGGCAAAAGGTGCCTTTTATTTATGTAAGTTGGTTGGCACTCACAACTTGCAGTTTTTATATTTAGCATATCTGAATATCAAAACACATTTGGCACCAAAGGCATGAATTAAAGTAACTTAAGACGCCCAATTTTGAAAATGTTAGCTTGTGTTCTGAGTAGCATTAGAAATTCCTTTTCTTGGTCTATGTAGAAATTGCCTTCTTTGTTAGCCATCTGTTGTGCATTTAGCTAGTGTGGTGCTGTTTGCTAGAGAGATGAAAAACCTAGATGGGGCACCAGATTGCATCCTGCCATATTGCCAGTGCAGGGGGATCCTGATCCAAGACTGCCCCTGAACGGGCAAGTAGGAAGCTCCTGTGGTTGGGAGTCCCACCAGCTAATGTGAGCTCCCAGTCATGGGGGCGCATGGTGCACTCCTGCAGCTGGAAGCCTAGATCGGCTGAAAGGGCTTG